ACTGGAGTGACGCAGTGCAAAAAGGAAGGAAGGAAAGTAGGCACAAGACAAGGAATGCAGGCAGACGCTCGATGTTGAAAAAGACAAGGAAACAGAATTCCTCTTGGAGCCTTGGGAGGAACTGGTCATGCTGACACTTGATTTTATCCCCATGAGACTCCATTGCAGACTCTGGACCTCGGGGACTGTCAGTTTAAGCCATTAAGCCTGTGGTAATTTGTTACAGCAGCAAACAGGAAACTGTACAGCATGACTGGTTGTTACCAGATGAAAAATCTAATTTTAGGGGTTTTTTTCAGGGGAGGTGGGAGGTAATTAGGTTTATTTGTTTATTTATTTTTTAAATGGCAATACTGGGATTGAACCTGGGACCTTGTGCATGCTAAGCATGCACTCTACCACTGAGCTGTACTCTCCCCACTTGAGAAATCTAACTTTAAAAAGAATAATTACAAATTCTCACACACAAACACATAAGCTTCTAAGTTTGACCTAATATGTTCTGAGTGCCTTCCCCTCTGCAAAAGCTGGAGTTCTGGTTCATTTCAGACGAAGACTCTCCCAGCATTCTCATACTCAGGGTATCACTGGAAATCTATTTTAATTTTTATTGTAAAGGTATGTTTTCTGGAATCTAAGAGTGTTCATTTATTTTTAGATCCAATTCTTATCACATACTAGGATTAAAACAGACATATAGGAGACACAATTTTATATTTTAGGAATTCACCTTACCAAACTTTAAAAATTATAGCTTATCTGTGATCCATTCTGACTGTCTCCAAGGCTGTATTTATTGGCTAAAGAATATACATAGAAATTTGAATGGGAACTCAAAACATTAATTATATACCCATTGTTTTCCCTCCTCTTCAAGAAACTGTTACAGTTCTAATAGGACTACTGTGCTGTAACTAACCAATGTTTGATTAATAAAAAGCATAGCATACCTCACTTGAGAAAATGGGTAAATGTGTTCAAGTTTGGGGGAGAAAAAGACAGTTTCATGAAAAACAAAAAATGGCAATATAACCCTCCCCAAAATGCATGAACTCTAATTGGATATGGGTGGGCCAGGGATGGAGGGCATAAAAATCTGGGGGGTGACAATTGGAAAAAATTTTAAAGCAACAGTATATTAGATACCATTACTGAATTAATATTAATTATCTTCAGTGTGATAATGTATTGTGGTTAGGAGGAGACTGTCCTTATTCTTAGGAAATGCCTGAAGTATTTATTTAGGGATAAATTTGATGATGTTTGCAACTTATATTCAAATGATTCAGCAAGGGGAAAAAATGTACGTGAATAACCATTGATAAATCTAGGTGTAAAGTATGTCAGATTCATTAAACTGTCTCTGCATCTTTCTGGGGGCTAAACATTTTCAATATTTTAAAAGCTGGAAAAAAAATTCTGAGGAAAGGAAACTTCAAATGTCTTCAAATCACATTCTATCAATTTTGCCCTAAACTAATTTCTGCTAATTATTATGCCTGATTGTTTGAAGATAATCCTGGTAGTAGTGGTAATAATAGTGTCAGAAATAGGTATAGTAATGAACCAAAGAAACAGTATTTCACAGATTAGAAGTGCTTTTTACTTAATAGTTAAATGAAGTCAACTAGGTTAAAATAACATGGCATATTTACAAATAATAATATGCCAAAGCCACTGTGATAAGTACTCTTCATGTATTTTCTGATTTACTCTCATAATATGTCTGAAAGAGGTACCATTATCCCCATTTTACAGATGAGGAAATTAAGTCTTAGTAAGGCCATAGTACAGCTAATATGTATGAGTACACACACACACACACAGACACATACACACATATATATATATGTAGATACACACATGGCTAGCATATATCAGGGCTGTGTTTAAACTCAGGTAGTCTGACCCACTAAATGATGGTAAAAACATCTTTCTTTTCTAATGTGTAAACTTACATTAGTGAAAGAGGAATCAGTTACTAGGAAACAAAAGATTCTGACACATTTTCAAGACAATATAACCATAGGAGCATGCAAAAACTACAGTAGAACAGCGTGCAGATTGCTTAGAAAAATATACAATCTGAAGACAAAAAGAATTAATGAAATTTTAAAATGTGATTACCAAATAAACACTTCAACAGACAAGTTCAAGGATAAAGTTATGGAAACTTCCCAGAACACACAGCAAAAAGACAAAGAGATGAAAAGTTAGGGAAAAGATAAAAAGAGCACTAAATCCAGGAAGTCTGACATTTCTCTAACAGTCCTAAAAACCACAGGAAAGTAGTGGGTAAGCTAGGAAGAAATTATCAAGGAAATAATACAAGAAAACTTCCCAGAGCTAACGGGAGACAGGAGTCATCAGACTTTAAGACTGTGCTGGTTATCACTGCATGGCCTCTCAGCTGCCAATCCACTTTGTTCTTCTACTTCCTAATCCTGGAGCTGGACTGGGGAGGTGTCTCCTTTGCCAGCTGCCAGGGGGCTGAGCTTTGTTGGGGTGAAGGAGGGGCAGTGCAGGAGGAAAGGCTTCCCTGCCAGGTGTGTTCCTGCCAGCTTGCTCCTGAGTGCCAGTGGGCCAACAGCATGTGAAGGGCCTCAGGGCAGCCACTCCAGCAGGTTTACAACACCTCTGCAGGGAGTTTCCACCCAGCTTGGCAGGCACCCAGCGGGATGCAGCAGCAGTTAGCCTGCGTGTGTCGCTCAGTGAGAACTTGCAGGCGCCCGGGCAGGGCTTGCAGGCACCAGTGGGGGGCTCCTAGCAAGTTTCATCACCCCTCTGGGAGGCAGCATCCCACCCAGAACTGCATGCAGCCCCTCACTCCACTGCTCTGGCACAGTGGGCCACAGAGCCATGCCCCCTCCAGTGGGACCTGACTCCCAGCTCTGGGGGTGGGCAAGGGGCAGCTGCTTCCAAACTTGATCCTGCCACAGCCCCGGAGGTAGTGGCTACCCTCTGTACCCACCACTGCTGCATTCCTTATCTTTTTCTCTTTGTAACTAACCCCCTGCTGACCTCCTTGTAGTTAATTCCCTGCTACTAGTTAGTAATTATTTTAACTTTCCCTGTCCAAATTACTGTATGATTTTTGTCTCCTGAACAGAACCTGACTGATACACTCACTGACGACTAAACACAGTAAATGACAAGACTCACCCAGACACATCACCGTGAAATCACCATGAAACTGGAGAATACTGAGGGATAAAAAGGAGAGAAACTCTAGGAGCTTCCAAAAAGAAAAAGAGAGTTTCAGTTAAAAAGGTATTAAAAAAAAAAATCGGACTGCCATATGGCTTTTCAAGTCAACAACAATGGGGCTAGATTTTTGACACTGAGAGAAAATTTATTTCAAACCTGTAAATCCACACCAATCATAGTGAAGAACATTTTCAAACAAGCAAGACTTAGGAAGTTTACTTCAATCCAAAGAAGTCACGTGAGATGATATGTCACCAAAATGAGAGTCGAAAACAAGAAAGAGGAAATGCAGCCTGCAAAAATGGTAGATCAAATTGTGGAAAATGGTAGATCAAAGTGCGGAATTCAAGGGAAACTACCAGGTGCAGGCCTAGGAAACAAAGAGAACTTCAGTGAGTAGGCTCCACAAAGAATGTTTTCAAGGAAAAGGCATTTATTCTAAGCAAAAGACAAATGAGTTAGAAGCTAGACTGGAGTATTAGGGACGTGGTAAAGGAGACATGAATCTTCCCTCAATAAATAAAAAGGCAAATAAAAACTCAAGGAAAAATAAATGCCACAAACAAAATGCAAGAAAGACATAGTCCAAATCTGCAATGATTTTGAGCGACTGGTGGAATCTAACAGAGTGAATCCACTTGTAAATGACATTAGGAATTTTCTCTTTGATGCTGTAGTTGTGATATCAGAATT